TAAAGGGCTGTGATCAGCTCTACAATGTCCAGTTGGAGGCTAGTCACTTAGCGGTGTACACCTGGGTAAATACTGGGTACTGGGCCAGTACTGTTTAACATTCTGGACAATAAGGCAGAGTGCACCCTCAGCATGTTTGCAGATGATACAAAATTTGGAGGAGGGGTTGCTACATCAGGTAGGAAATGCCAAGTCCTACAGCTATTAAGGAACAACCCCAGGCACCAGTACAGGCTGGGGACTAGTGGGAAAGCAGCTTTGCAGAAAAGGATCTGGAGGTCCTGGTGGACACCAGGTTGAACATGAGCCAGCAGTGTGCCCTTGCAGCAAAGGAGGCCAACAGCCTCCTGGGCTGAGTTAGGAAGAGCATTGCCAGCAGGTCAAGGGAGGTGATCCTTCCCCTTTATTTCATGCTGTTGAGATCACATCTGGGGTGCTGGGTCCAATGCTGGGCTCCCCAGTACAAGAGAGACATGGAGCAAATCCAGCGCAGTGCTGTGAAGACGATTAAGGGACCAGAGCATCTGTCATACGAAGAGAGGCTGATAGAGCTGAGATGTTCAGCCTGAAATGAAAAGGCTGAGGGGGATCTTATCAATGTGTATAAATACCTCACGGTGTTGGGGGAAGCCAGACACCTCTCACTCATGCCCAGGAAAGGGACTAGGGGGGTGGAAATTGCATTTGAACGTAACGAAAAGACATTTTTTGTACTGTGAGGGTGACTGAACACAGGAATTGGTTGCCCAGATAGCTTGTGGAGTCTCCAACCCTGAAAACACTCCAAATCCAACTGGGTGCAGTCCTGAGAAACCAGCTCTATCTGACACTGCTCTGAGCAGGGGGATTAGACGAGATGATCTCCAGGGGTCCCTTCCAACATCATCCTTTCTATGATTCTAAAAAATTATTTAAACAGAGCTATTTAACCACCTTTTACAGAAGGAAACAGTAAGAACTGCTGATTGTATTTTTCTAGGTTATTTCTGGGGTGTGGATTCAATCTCCTGTTAATTAATTCATAAGTTCAGCAGCTGCTGACAATTTCTATATAACTGTATGTTTTATTTTAAGTTAAAAACGCCAAGATTCTTCAATAAGCAGTTTTTAAATATACGTAGCATAAACAGACATAAGTAACATGCGATTTAAAAATAGATTTGGCATCTTTACATCAATCCCCCTCCTTCCTTGTATGTGATTGCAACTAAAGATGTCTGCCTAGAAAAGATTACATCACCTTTGTAGATAAAGTGACTGTTCAAAAAGGGAAGCTTCCAACATAAATTATTTGTAGTATGAATGTCTTGAATCATTTCAAGCCTAACAAGAAATACCTTCAGGAAACTGTTGCATTCACTAGGAGTGAATATGTACTGACTGAAGCTCAGGTTATCTTTTATGGTTGTATACAGCACCATTTTCCTGACAATGCAGTCTCAGAATGAAGCAGCTTTTGCTCTTTATCGCAGGATAGCTCTTCCATTTGCCACTCTGGTGGTATTTCAGACTGTAGGTTTCAAAGCCGTGTGCAAGTAGACTACACATCCTACTCTTGCACATTAATATCCAACTGAGGTGACCAGACCTGTACCCCTGTGGCTGATCTCTAGCATTACTTATTTCAACCGTAAGAAAAAATATGATGTCCAGTGGAGGTCCACCAGCACAGAGGGGCTTCTCCTTGCAAAGCTGACCTATGAAACTGGTTAGGGGCTGGCAAACTGGCTCCAAATCATAACAACTAGTATCACTAGCTTTGAGATATCAGGTGAAAACTACCATACTAACTTTATGTTAAATATTGAGATCAGATATTCAGAAAGGCATTTGGATCTGGTCCAAATCTCTGCCTGCCCTTCCGTATGTTTCCTGAAGGGTAGGAAGGACGGGCAGTCAGGCCAGCAGTCGGGCTGCTTTCGAAGGACATTTGGGGCTGAATGCACTTCAGCTAACTTAAATTAAGTTATTAATAACTTAAATTAAGTTAGCTTAAGGTGTGTGAACTTTCTGAATTGGAAACAAAGTGTCCCTGGGTTCTCCTCTAAAGAAGGAGAGCAGAGACAGGACTTCCAGGGGCAATTCAGAAAAGCCACTGAGATCTCGCTTTGATAGTGGCTATTAATATTGACTATACAAGGAGACTAAAGCAAATACGCTTCTAGTCTATACACTTCAGATAGGAGCATAAAGCTGGAAAAGATGAATGTGGGTCTTGAAACTATACACGTTATATTTAGTTGATAAGAGCAGAATGCTGCAAGGAACATATAAGACAAATATTACTAAAACAAAGTTAACTCTTTTAATACTTGAGCATTATCTTAGCACACAAACTGTTCCAAGCAAAAACACAACATTGTTACACTGAAGAGACCTTGAGATCCTGTACCACATTATCTGCAGTCTGTGAAACAGTGAGGAATACTTGAAAACTTGCTCTTTTGACATTTTTCTAGAAATAGATGAACAATCAGGATACTGCTTTTCACACAGCATCCCTCTTGTGCACTGTGCTAATATTGGCTTGAATACAGAAGAATGAAAACAATCACATTTCTCACCTCTCAAATGGACCAGATAATACAGAATTCAGATCAGTCTTTTCAGTGTTTTTCATTAAACTGGACATGTTTACAAGTCAGATGAAAGCAATACTTGCTCAAATGACCTCCTTTCCTCTGTTTGGAAGATTTATTGAGGGCAATATAGAACAGCAACAATAGTCAATCATAGGTGGCAGACTGCCCTTTTATTAGGCATATTGAAGCCAATTAATCTAAGCGAGCTTTCTCCCTTTACCTCCTGGAGGCATGTACAGTTAGAATGCATTTAAAAATTTTGCATCAATAAATAAAGGTGCTGAAACTATCCATCTGAACTTTGAGAAATTATTTACACGCACTTGAGATGCTAAGTATTAACATTCTACATACTCTGCTGGGCAATATAATTTGACTAGATCCAAGACTTAAAAAATAAAGTTCTGAAACAGGGCTTTGTGGTACTGCGGTACTGTGGTACACCCTCCACCCCACCCCCCCATCCTCAGGGGTAGCAGGAAGAGAAAGGAATGCCTGCGAAAGGAGCTAAAAGCAGTAGGAACACCAGAACCTGCCTTTAACACTGAGTCAAAACACTGAGTTAATCAGAAGTCTTCAAATAAGGTTGCAAGGCAAAGTGGGCTACTGAACCAGTCACACATTTACAGCACAGAAGTAATCAATTATTGGAATTTATTTCTAGATGTCAGATTATCTGCCATTTATAGGAGATACCAAAGGCCATTTGAGGTGAAAAGCAAGTCTATAATAATCTTATTAATTATGAAAAATCAAAACCCAAGATGTCTTAATTCATGTTCTCATTTTTGCAGTCCGTGTGCTTCTAATTAGAACTGCTGTAATATATTCGCTTGGGAGGCATATAAGAAAAGTGAGTAACTTTTTAGTAGCAGCTTCTTCTTTCAGGGCACACACTTAACTAATCCTTTATTGTTGGATTACCTCAAACATCCTCCCTGGATTACCTTCATCGTAAATTCAATTATAATCTTACCAGTTTCACAGCTGGGCCCAGTGAAGCCTTGTGGGCAGGCACACACATTGGAAGCAATACAGGCTCCTCCGTTCCTACACCCGTCTTTGCAAAAGGCTGCAAAATGCAAAATCACAATATAAGGTTAAGAATTAACGTAACTACACTGAGCAACCACACAGGTGGCCACAGGCCACTGGCAGGCTGGCACAAAATGCGGTGCTTGCGGCATGGAGTGTAGAGGCTGCCTTCTCCTAAAGACAGAGGTCACGAAGAGATGGTTTATTGCCCCCCTGCCTCACTGGCCAGATGGGCTGACAAGCTACAGAAGGAGATTAGAGTAAATCATCTGAAGACAACAGCTCACATATGTGTTCCTTCGCATGCACTGGGAAGCAGTGAAAAGCAGTATCTTCCCCAGGAACAGACTCTTCCTAGGGTTGTGCTGATCTTCTCTGCTGCCCAAATAAAGGCCTGAGCATAATAGGCACAACTGAACACTAAATTGTCTGGCTCATTCTTTGATTAAGTGATTAGAATGAAACAATAAAAATAGTAATTTTTTTTCTCAAGGGATTCTGAAGAACTTAAAAACTTTTACTGTTTACAGTTTGAAGTCAATCCCTGGATTTGTTCTTTGGCACGCTGCAATCTGAGAAGCCATGCACACGCATTTAGGTGCAGCATTCCCCAGATAGAGCTGTGAATATGCGTATGCATTAAAGAGTCCCCTCTGCAGACACAGAAATGCAACCAGCTCTGAGAGAAAATATGGCAGCTGTTCATTGCTCTGGTTGTATCCGTAGTATGGAATCAGAAATGCTCTGGTCACAAGAAACTGTAGGTGAAACTAGGCAGATGGAGGTTATCACCAACATAAAGAGTTGCTCTGGGGCACTGGTCTAGCCTTGCGCTTGTAACCAGCCACCGGAGATGCCAGGCTTTGGTTTGCAGCTGCTCTGTGTAAGCGCCACTGATCAGGTCTTAAGGCTCAGCTGAGGGAGAACATGAGTGTTACCAATTTGAGCTTTCCAGCACCAGCCTTGTGGTGTGAGACCCTTGCCACTGAGTGGGACATCGAAGCTTGCTGGTGCAGGATGACACGGTGCATGGGAGCACGGCTGGAAGCACCGTGCATGAAAAGCTGCCAAAGCCATGGGGACAAGAGGTGCATCCAGGTCTCTTTGAAGGATGCTGGCATCCAAGCCAGGGCTGCAGAGAAGTACATTTCTCAGATTGGGAGACATAGGCTCAGAGCCTTCTCCTGCATACTGTCTTTTCAGTAATTGAAAGGGGAAGGAGGGAGGAACATGCTTTTCTTTCACAGTGGGGCCAGGTGCCCTCTGAAACATCAGACCTGCAGTCAGAGCTGTTATTCAGGGAACAGAAGAGCCGAACGCGGTGCTCTAGGGTTACGCACCTTTTCTTTGACCCAAAGAAATCTCAATTACCTTTTCAGAAGCTGACACACCTCCAGCAGAAGGATTGGGGAATACTCCCAAGCATGGCATAGGAGTGAGCTGCGCAGACAGAGCTCTCTCCTGAGAGGAGCGGCTCTGGGTTTGAACCTCCTCAGGCTAAGACTTTCTTCCCATTCCCCAGAGGAGGGAGCCCAGCATAAAAGGGCGCATTTGCTGACATCTCTCCCTCTAGCCATGTGTTTGACTGGAAGTGGACCAGGCTGCCGTGTTTTACGAAGAGCTAGTTTTTGTTAGGAATATTTAGAAAAATCATACTGTGACTCAGGAGAAGGAATAACTAGTGCTAAGATCTTAATCAGGCTTAGCAATTAAAGAAATTCTGGGTTGCTTAGCCTTGGTAATACACAGCAGCAGAATGTATCTATGGGATATTACCAATGCTAACTCCAGCCCCTTAGGTTCTGACACCCAACAGATCTAGAGGACTGAGGCACAATTTCAAGGAATGCTGGGTATGCTATTGCTGCAGCTAGGCCAGTTCTCGCATCTGAGCCAGCTCCTCTACAGCTACACTACTTTTATTTTCAAGCATCCTCTAAATCCTATGCTCGGAGCCTGAGGACTTCCAAGGATTTGGGCCCATGTACCAAGTATCATCTCCTCTGATGTGAAATGCAACGGAAATAAAAGTAGTATTGTAACTCTGGGAAAGCATCTTTCTAAGACTAGTAATATAACTTCTAATGTTTACCAGTGAATAAGAATGTTAGAAAACAAAGCACTACCTCATGTGCAGCAAAGGTTTTGTGCATGCGTGTCTATTGCTTTTCTCATTTACAGTAAAAGGACACAGCATATCAAACAACTTTCAGTTCATGCAAGCAAAATAGAAAGTGATTGACTGTAGACAATGTAGATCTGATAATGTTTTCACAGCTGTAACTTTGTTGGTAACTGTGGGCTTTCTTGAATGGTATAGCATATATGGAAACTGTTAACTCGAGACAGAACTGAAACATAATTATTTCAAATTTTAGAGCATACTAACTTATGTATGCATCACCCTCAAATTACTGTGAACTCTGCCAAGTGCAAAGTCAGTGTATATCTGCCTGTGAGGATCTTTTTATAGGTGCAGGACCTAAATGCCTAGCCTAGCATTTTGTCTGTCGTCTTCAAGGTTCGTGAACAGATTTGCAACTATGACAAAGCACCTCATCCAGTTCAAAGACTGCCGTATTGCCGGGCTTTCAGTGGCTTACCTTTGCAGATGGTGCCATTTCCCGTGTAACCCGGCTTGCAGACACAGTTGTGCCCACCCACGGTGTTGAAACAGAGCGCGTTTTCATCACAGTTGTGCTGGTTTGTTATACATTCGTCATGCTCTGAAAAGGAAAACAAGAGCGGGATGGTCCTGAATTTTTAAAACACAACAAAATAAAATCTTTGTATTGGTTTCCACGTTAAAAAGAGATAGACACAGTAGTAGTTACTGACAATAGACCTATGTGAACATGTAACTGTGGGATAGCCAGGGTATATATTTTTAGCACACACTAATATGTGATAACTGTGCTGCAGCGTAACTCCGGTTTCATTAACAGGGAGCCACCATCATTACACTTTCCATGTGGGCTACAGTGTTCTCGTAAACATTTGCCAAAGAGCCGGCTAACATACTGAAAATCCATATGCTAGTTCTACCGTATAATTTATTCATGCAGGTTCATCTTATGCAGGATTCATAGGGTTTCCTTCAGAAAGCTGACTCATGGTGCGAGACACACGTTCCAAACTGCAAAAGATACGGTTAGCAGAAGGCAGGACTTCAAAACGTAGACGTGTTTTCCTTCCCTTCAGTATGTATGCAGCACTTTATTTAGATGAAGTAAGTAACCCGAAAACAAAGGTCTGCCTGCTGTTCAAGGGACTTTCAGCATGGTGCGTCCTAGCACCGAAGTGCGATGGATGAGACTCCTCAGTCTGGTGACTAAACTTAGACATACTGGGAAATGCACCTTTTGGGAATAAATGAAAAGTCTGGACAATATGACTTTGTGTTAACCTGCAATGCATTGTTTAATCTGAAACAGAAAAGCACTGTATAAGTGTTCAAGCTACTGAACATTTTAATGTTTAGGTTGTGATTTTTAAGACATGGAAAATGCAATTTCAAAATAAGATGCTCTAAAGTGTCATTTCAAAATGCTACATGAAATGCTCTACTATTTTCAAAATACAATATCTTAGTTCTGTAGGCATCAAAATAACATGTTTCCATCTTCTGGAAATATTCCTTGCATTTTCTTTAAATCAGCAGTATTCACCTATCCATAAATAATTTCAGACCCCTGAAATTTTAATTTCAGGAAAACCGACTGTTTGGGGAACATAAAAGCACCTAATTTCAATCAGCACACATGGACTAACCTGCATGTGAGGTTTTCATAACCATCATTCTGCCCAGGTTTTAGCTAATTTTATTAGTGCAGCTTATGCCAGTCCTCGCTATCTGACACAAGTCTTAAATCTGGAATCGGATGCTCTTTCTTCCCCAGTTCTGGGTATGTCACACTGCTCTGAATCTTCCCCTTTATAAATAAAGAGCTGAAGTCTGCGCATACCCCACAGAGTTGTCAGGAAAATTAATGTCTTAACATTTGCAAATCACTATGAATTTTTTCAACTTGCTATTTCAATACTGGCCATAAACTGTAGGAGTGTAAAACTGGCAGAATGGCACATCTCTAATCCATCAGTAGATGTAAATTGTCCTCTAGTAATGGCAAGTACCTGTTGTTTAAAAGGAGAAAAAAAATTCACCACAATGTAACTAATTAATTTTAAACACTACACAGGTTTAGATTTTTTTTTTGGTGGGGTTGTTGTTGTTGTTGTTGTTTATTTGTTTGGGTTTCAATAACACTAACCTAATAACCCTCTTCTAAGCAAGGACTTACGTGTCTCTTGTATCACCAACAACACTCTCCTCAACCTCAGCACCGAGGCACCAGCACTTACTGAGCTGAGTCCCTCGCTGGATGCAGCAGAGCATGGGCTGCAGGCCTCTGCCCTGAAGCATGAGATTTAATTACTTTGCTCTCAGCATGAATAACTAAAATTGTTATTGTTCATCAAATGATCCGGCCCCTCTAAAATCCAGTTACAATATTTGACTCCCACCTCCTAACATAGTAAAATCTCTCATGCTGGCTGAAACAGTATTTGTGCTAAATCAGTCCGTAAAATAAAAGAAAAATAAAGACCATGCAAATTAGGTAAAAAGTGCTATCTGTACTGTAATAATATCCTGGCTTTCTTAGTTTGTGTTAATATTATGATATTATTTAAATACAGTATGCTATTTAAATATTAAATATATATTATTTTCTCATTTTTAAAGGTTCTGTGTAAAACACAACAGGAAAATAACTATGGAAATGCGCAAAACATTATGCACTCAGCAGGCCAAAATATCTTGCAAAGCCATTATCTTGGTACCTCAGGAAGTAGGGTCTATACAACAATACATCACACTGGTAAACTCAGCTCAAATCACTGAATTTGACAAATTAAGTATCATCCTCAATGAGGAAGTGTAGCCATCCACCCCATGCCTTAGGAATGCAAAAGCATCCCTGGCACATACGGCAGCTCTTTGCTATGGATAAGAGTATATTGGAGGAAAGCAGGCGATCACAGACTGTCACACTAAGAGGAACGGCTCTACGCGCACGGCTGGAGCAGCTCTGAAAGCCCATCGAGGCACCCACAGGCAGGGCAAGCGCTGTGGCCTCTCTGCCAAGCAAACTTGCTATTGGTATTCCAGTACAACAAGGTATTAACCATATTTGTAACACCATCTTGCCATACTGGGGCCTTGAAGACCATTTGTACAGATGTATGTCCTTCATATAAAAAGATGACTGTCACACTTGAGTGTGCCTTCCTAACATTTACTCTCTGGGCTAAGAAAAACTATTGGGTCTTTTAAGATGGATTTTTCTTAAAGCGTGCAGTATCAATAAAATTAACTTTCTGTCAGCTAAGTAAGGGAGCTTGGATTCAAAGATAACATGCCTGGTTTCCTACTCTTGCTGTAAGAAACTTCAGTGTTTCATACCCTCCTGTAAGAAAGTTCACGGAGGATGCTTGCTAACATTTCAGGAGGAGGGTCCAGCACATAACCAAAACTGTATCAAAACAGCCAGCACTTCTACTTCTGTGGTTATCTGTTCAAACTTCAGGTCTATTTTTTATTTAAATCAAATATTAGTGACTCACGAAAAATTCATGGGTCTGATAAATGATTCCTGGATTGAAGTGTCATTTTTTAGGAGGAAAATGTCTCAATGTAAGAGGAAATTTTGTGATTCAATTAAAGGAGCAAAGATTTTAAAATGATAGGAATGGAAAAAATCAGCAAAAAACGAATCAGGATGTTTTACAATCCATCTAGATTTGTTGCTCTGTATCATCTGAGCTTAGCTTCAATAACACGCTTAAAACCATTTAAACATAGTACTTCTTCATATTCCTTCTTACAGTGGCACCTAAAAGAGCAGTCAGCCTACACTTCAGGACTGGCTCTTTTATGGACTGATTACAGATGGTTAAACTACACCCAAAAAAGTCCTGTACCAAAAGCATCTTACTACATTCACTCTTCCAGCACATGGCACACTATCCACACCAATTTAAAGAGACCATCACAAACAGCTTCTTCCAGAATTCTCTATTAATAACAAGGCAGACTGTCCAGCTTTATTAAAGATAGAAATACTTATTTGTAATAAAAGGGTGGTGCTCTGTTGATTATTCTTCATTAGTTCATGCTTATTGCTTTGGTTTCTTTTTTTAATCAAACACTTGGAAAGTCACCTTAAGTAAGGAGGACATTGCAAAGACTGAGTTCAGCAATCTTAAATATCAAACCAGGAACTGTAGAAGCAGACAGGACTGTGCATTACAAAGAACCAAAAAAGCAATTTATAAAAGAATCGTTTAAAGAGAACCATTAATATGGTTTTTAAGTTCAAAAACCAGTATAGAAACATTATTTGCATTATTTAGAAATTTCAGTACTGCCCAAATATATTTCTGATGCTGCAAGAAGCAACACCGAGGCCATTTATTTCAAGCATCTTTAGAAATCGTGTGACACAGTCAATGAAAGTCCTGTACTTATTTCACTGCACACCATAATGATGATGGGGACAGGCCAGGTACAACAGTAGTACAGAGGCAAGGAAATAAAAATTACTTTTGCAAAGAGATTTTAATGATTAACAGACCTGAATTTGCATAAACATATTCTATAAAGACCAAATGCACTGGTTTCAATGATTACTTCTAAAGCTTTATTATCCAATATATCTAAATTCCATTTTGCACTGTTCAGGACTCTATGCTCAGCAGTGTTAAAATTCATAAAATCTCTGTTCTGAGTGAGAAAATCAACTAAAGTTTTAAATACAGTATTTATATTAACTAAAGTATCTCTGGAACGAGGTCTTTCTAGATAGAAAAAAAAATTCAACTCTAAACTTTGCTATTGCTTCACAGTAATAACAATAGCAACAGTAAGAGCATTTGAATCTTCCATTAAATAGTCCTTATGACACAGATGACTTAGAGATGCAATAAATTATGTGATGATGCAATTAATTCACTTATGCGCACTTGGGTATGCAGAAAATAGCTTATATACACACACACAGATACATATACACGTATGTACATACATATAAACACATACAGTACAGGTCATGTACTTTATTTTACTTTGGTTCATTTTGAAATAGTACTCTAGAATATTCCATATGGTTTGCTTGACAAAAATGTTGTTACTTCAGGATATCTAGGGTGAAGTACTGCATCCTAGTACTTACCTAGTACATCCTAGAGACCGCTGGCATAAAGTGATCAGGAGCCACCACATCGTGTGATGTATGACAATGCAACAACAGCTGCGGGATCTGTCTTACCCAGTTTATTATCTGAGCAGAGATTCTTGCAGAGCTTAGTAAAATTTAACATACTGTCTACAAGGTGTGTCACCTACCTCCTCCTCCTTTTATTTTCCTAGCACTATGCAATATCAGTCCCTATCCTTCCTACTGTGTATTTCATGATTAAAAATAAACAAAAAATCTGTAGAGCATTTCCTACTTGCATACTGCAAGCCTTCCCAATATTTGCCTTCATATCCAAATTCTGCAAATGTCGAAGAAAAAAACAACAAACAGAATCCAATCCAGCAGCAAAAAGGGATGATGACTGAGTTGCATCACTTACTTATGGGTAAAGAATATTATGCTGGCAGTTTTCCTGAACCATCCATTACCAACATTGGAAAATAAGAGCTGAGATCACACTTAAGGCA